ATTTTTTTTTTTTTCCGGGGGGGGGGGGGGGGGGGGGGGCTTATAAGCTCCAAAAAATTATAAACAAACAAGTCTGTTTGATTTTAGAGCTTGACCAGTTTATAAACTCAGACAAACACCTCTTTAAAAGATGATAATGTATTTCATATAGGAATTTGTAAAAAAAATAAATGATTTTATTTTTATTTTATTTTATTATTTATTTTTTGTTAAAAAAAATTATTATCAAGAAATTTTGCTCATTTTATTGACTTTCTAGGTTCAAACTACCTTGGAACACCTATCATATATATAACTTATCTAGAACATTAGGCTTGTAGGGTGTTTAATGGATTGTGAAGATTAGTTGAGGTATACATAAGTTAACCCAAAATAAATAAATTTTTTTTTTTTACTTTTTCATAAATTCCTACATAAAATCCATTATCATTTTTAAAATCTCATTTCAAACAAAGAAATCAAACTAAACACATGCAAATTTAATAAAAACACATAATCTAATAAATTTAATAAGAAACTTAAAAGCAATAATTTAGGGTATTTTAATCTTTTAGGTAAAAAAAAGGGACCGGGTGGATTTTTCACTTCAAGAATTCTCTAGGGGTATTTCTAATTAACTCAAACCTCATGGGGGAATTTTTTTAATCTAGACATAGAGGGCTAGATTGATCCCATTTCAGAGTGGACCCGAGCCACCATCTGCGTGGTTCACAATTACTGGTGGGCACTGCATATTTCTCATTTTGATCCCATTTCAGAGTGGACCCGAGCCACCATCTGCGTGGTTCACAATTATCTGGTGGGCATTACATATTTCTCATGCATGATGTCAGCTTTAGATATTATTTCACAAATTTTTATATTTACTCTCTAAATTAACAATTATAATGAACAAATTATAGCTGAGATAAAGGTTCAAGTTTCATCCTCTCAATTAGTCAAACTGCAAGACCCTGTTTAGATCATGAATAATATTATAGATATATAATTAATATCCAGTAGGTTATATTCAAATAAATTAACCATTCAATTGATATTAATTATTCAATTTTCTTGTACTTTAACCTTGATTAAATTAACTATACTTGACTAATGGTTTTCATAATGCATTTACTGAACATTGTTGTCAAGAATCATATCTCCATAGCCATGCTAGCTAGTAAATCAAATAAATACATTTTCTGTAATTAGGGTGCAATTCAATTTCAAATTAATAACATATCGAACATTAATGCACGTAACCATAACATTAATGTTCTCAAAGTAAAGGTGGTAGTCGACAGAAAACCACATTTTTATGTGCAAAGCCACATTAATATTTGTACGTATGTTATTTGGGATAATAGCATAAAGTTCCCTTAAAATTTTTAAATTTATTTTTTGGATGATAATTTTTGCACTTTTATCAAATAAACCCTTGAAGTTTGAAAATTGTATCATGGGCACTCCTTTGTCCAACTCCGCTATGTTGTCATTTATGGTGAATGGGTGCAATGATAACTTCGGTTTTATAAGAAAATATTGTAAGAAGACCCTAATGGGTTGGTTTGGCGATCAAGAAGATTTGCTTCCTTTCTTGATTTCCTAAGTTCAAACCTTGGAATCATCTACCACAATAACATTATGGTTTACTTGGTCCTTTAGGCTTGTAGAGTGTTTAATTGATCTCAGAGATTAGTTGAAGTGCACGCAAGCTAATCCAGACACCTCATTACCAAATATATATATATATGTTGTAAGAAAATAGTAACCTTAAAAAATTGTTTTGTAAACCTAATGACAAAATAATTGAGTTAGGGCAAAGGAGTGCATGTGATAAATACTTTAAACTTTGAGGGCTCATATAATAAAAATGAATGAAAGTTATTATGTTAATGTGATTCCAAAATCTTAAGGATAGTCTGATATTTTCCCCATTTTTTTTATTGATTTGCTAAGCAAATTAAGCAGCTTATAATAGGGTGAGCACGGGTAGTGGGTAGAATTGGAACCGGGGGGTAGAACCGAAACCGGAACCTACTCGGAACCGGTACTATGCGGGTAGGTTCTGGTTCCAATTTTTTCGAACCAATACTGTGTGGTTCCAGTTTCGGTTCTTATGTGTGGAGGAACTGAAACCGGAACCGGAACCTGTAAAAAGGGTACCCTGTTTGGAACCTGTAGGGGGTACCCGGTTTGGAACCGATTTTTGGAACCTGTTTGGAACCTGTTTTGGAATCTGTTTGAAACCTGTTTGGAACCTGTTTGGAACTTGTTTTAGAACCTGTTTGGAACCTGTTTTGGAACTTGGACTACAATAAAATATTTGTGAAATATGAATAATAAAGGGTTTCTATTGTTTTACATATTAAAATATTTAAAATAGAAAAAGTTAAACTTTTAGAATAACCTAATTAAATAAATATACGAATACAATTATACTTATTACATATAAATTATACTATATTAAAAGCTTTAATATATTATAATACATTAATATTAAAGTTTTGATTAATTAAGTGAATAATTGGAATTATGATCCAATTAAAAGTGTTTTACATTTTTAATGTTATTAAAAGAATTATTTTTGAATAAAACAGTATATTTGATTGAGTAATAATATATTTAGTTATTTACTTCAATTATCAAGTTCTAAGTATATCTCTAATAAATTAGTAATTAATTATTATATATGATAAATTGATAAACATTAATAAATTAATTACTAGGTAAATTCATACTTAATCAATTATACATTACTTATAGTTAAATGATTACTTAATTATATAATTTTATGACATTACTTAATTGATTTATAGTATAATTAATTATAACATTACATTAATTGATTACTACTTAATTATTGACTTATAAATTATAACATTTAGTATATTACTTAATTAAATAATTAGAAATTTAATATTATAGCATTACATTATAGATTTATAATATAATTACTTAGCAATTATAACATTTATTATAAACATTAATAAAAACTTAATTAAATGATTAAAAATTTAATTAATTATAATATTACATTAAAATTATAGTATGATTACTTAATAGTTAATTCACTATAACATACATTATAGTATGATTATATAATTAATTATAACATTACATAATAAAATGATTACTTAATTGATTATGACATTATATTATAAATATTAGTAATTACTAATTACTACATAAACATTAGCATAATACTTAATTAAATGATTAAATTTAATTAATTACAATATTACATTATAAATTTTAAGTATGATTATGTAATTAATTGGAACATTATATTATAATAAATGTACTTAATTAATTATAATATTCTATTATAAATAAATTAAGTATAATATGATATTAAGACTATAGTATAATTACTTAATTCATTGTAACATTTCACTATTTCATTTAGTATGATTAGTTGATTACACAATTAATTATAACATTACATAATAGATGTTATTTAATTGATTGACATTATATTATAAATATTAATTATAACATTACATTATAAATAAATGTTACTTATTAAATGATTAGAAATTTAATTAATTAAATATTACATTATAGTTAAATATTATTTAATTAAATTATAACATTACATTACATTATATTATGTCACTTAATTAATTATAGTTACAAATTAAATGTACTTAATTAGTTATAAATTTAAACATCACATTATAAATATTGTAATTACTACTTATTTTATTAATACTTAATTAAATGATAAATTTTAATTAATTATAATATACATTAAAGATCTATAATCTGATTACTTAATTCACTTAACATTACATTAAGTATGATCACATAATTAATTATAACATTACATAATTAAAGATTACTTAATTGATATGAATTATGATATTAGTTTTAAACATTAGTAATTACTAATTTACTACATAAACATTAGCACAATAATTAATAAATGATTAAAAATTTAATTAATTATAACATTACTTATAAACATTTCATTAAACAAATTAAGCATTACATTATAGTTAAATAATGTCAATTAAATTATAATATTATTATATTATATTATTTATATATATTATGTACATTACTTAATTATAGCATACATAGTTAAATGATTACATAATTAGTTATGAATTATAACATTACATTATAAATATTGGAATTTACTATGTTATTACATTATTTAATTACGATTAAAAATTAATTAATTATAACATTACCTTATATTATAAATGATACTTAATCAATTATAACATTTCATTATAAACATTGTATATTAATTAAATGATTTGAAATTTATTATTATAATATTAAATTATAGTTATAGTATGATTACTTAATTCATTATAACATTATATTATACTATTATGTATTATCATATAATTAAATATTACATAATTAAATGATTACTTAATTGATTATGACATTATATTATAAACATTAGTAATTAATAATGTACAAACTACTTCATTAACTGATTAGAATTTTATTAATTATAAGATTACATTATAAATTTATGGTATGATTATTTAATTAATTATAACATTCTATTATAAACAATATTACAATACTTAATTAAATGATTAACAATTTAATTAATTATAATATTACATTATAATTAAACCCTAAACCCAAATAGTATATTTGTTAGGGGTGTATTTGTAAACTTATAAGGTATTTTTGTCATTTTTTAAACTAATAGGGGGTAATTAATTTTTTACAGGGTACCCCGAAAGGAAACTGGAACCTGTATTTTAGGTTCCGATTCCTTGAATTGAAGAACCTGTACTGTGCGGTTCTGGTTTTGGTTCCTTTTTCTGGGAACCTATACTATGCAATTTCGGTTCCGGTTCCCCTAGCTTATATCATGTTACATGTCATTGTCTATGCACAATATTGCTGACTTTTTCAATATCTCTTTACACATTGCTCTCCTCGTGGTTTTCTATGTTCTACATGCACAAACATTTGCTCCTTATAAATACCCATCACCCCACTCACTGCAAAGCAAATCATTTAGAACTTGAAATCTACTTCCCACTATGCCTCAAACCTTTACTCAATGGCTGAGCTTGGTGGGGGCAATATGGCTTCAATCCATAAACGGAACAAACACAAATTTCCCTGCTTACTCATCCCAACTCAAAACTCTTCTCTCCATATCCCAACTCCAACTCAACAATCTTGCCTTCGCCTCAGACGCCGGCAAGCTTTTCGGTTGGATTTCCGGCATTGCAGCTGTTTATATGCCACTCTGGCTCGTTCTTATGTTTGGTGCCACTCTTGGTTTGACTGGTTACGTTTTGCAATATCTCTTCATCACAAACCAAATCTCCTCTCTTTCATATGGCTATATCTTTTTACTCACTGTTGTGGCAGGACATAGCATTTGTTGGATCAATACCGTTTGTTATGTTGTAATCATTAGAAACTTCCCATCAAATCGTCAAGTAGCCGTAGGAATAACAACTAGTTACTTAGGATTAAGTGCAACAATCTACACAGATATTGTCGACGCCTTATACTTTCCCAGTAAAAGAGCTAAAGCTTATCTTCTTCTGAATTCCATCCTTCCTTTATTCGTTTGTGTCATAGCCGCGCCTCTACTTAGAGATGTTAAAGTTGGAAAATGTAGAAGAATGAGAGGTCGGTTCATTGTTATGTTTGTGATAACAATGGTCACGGGAACTTATGCCATTATTGGTAGCTTTAATTGGGTGTCAAAAATATTGTCGCCGCTTAAGAATATGATTGGTATGATAGTATGTCTATTAGTCCCATTAGTGATTCCATTTGGAGAAAAGATTGGAGATGTTTTAGCGATAAATTGGTGGTTAAATGGAGAGCCAAAGGTGTATAATTCAACAGTAGAAGAGAATATGAGTGTGGAGAGAGTGGAGAATGGAGTAAAGGAAGATGAAGAAGATGTAAGTGAGATTGAAGATCATGAGATTGGTGTAATGGAGGAAATTGGGGTGAAGTTGATGGTGAAGAGAGTGGAATTTTGGTTGTATTTTTTTGTATATTTATTTGGTGCAACTCTTGGTCTTGTGTTTCTGAACAACTTGGGACAAATAGCCGAGTCTCGTGGGTTCACTGGAACTTCTTCTCTCGTTTCTTTGTCTTCTTCATTCGGTTTCTTTGGGCGTCTCTTGCCATCTCTTTTCGACTACTTTTTCTCAAGGTATGTCTTTGTTCTTTACTCTTCATTTAGCACCATACAGTTACTAATTACATAAAATGAACAAAAAAGATTATAATAACTTTTTGGTTACCTCCCATATCTCACCTTATCTTTAGGCACGAGGTGATAATTTTTAGATTATAAATACAAAGTAGGAAAATGGACAGGTTTTCCTTACAAAAGAATCAAAATAGAATATATAGACATAGGTGAAATGAGCCCTACTCTTCCTTTCCAATGGCGCCGTTACTGTTGTTTGGTGGTGCATTTACTCATTTTATTTTTGGTTAATCAGATGGTTGCATCTTCTACTTCTGATAGGCGTTTAATGAAATATTATATATATTCTGAGCAAATGTCATTAAAGTTGTGTGACTAATTGCTTCTTTCATAAAATAAAAAATTAGAGACCAATCGCTTTCTTTTGGTTCATGTATTAAAAACTCCAAAACATTGGTACCTGAGAACTTTTCTCTATCAGTGTCAGACAGTTGGTCAATATTGAAGGACGAGTCATTTCTATTGTGTACACTTGTTACTAGTTTGCTAGAGACGTACAAGTATGGTAATTGATACGTGGGTTTTTGTCTGTTTGTTTCAGGAGCAAGTATATGATTTCAAGCACAGGTGCGATAGTTGCATTAATGGCTCCGATGGCAGGAGCTTTCATTTTACTTCTGAACACAACCAACCTTGCTCTCTATGTGAGCACTGCCATTATAGGGATCTGTACAGGAGCAATTTCTACCTTATCGGTAGCCACAACCACCGAGCTGTTTGGTTCTAAGAATTTCGGTGTCAACCATAACATTGTAGTTTCAAATATTCCAATTGGCTCCTTTCTTTACGGCTACTTAGCCGCCCTTATATATCATAAGGGAAGCAATGAACATGGCCAATGCATTGGAATGGATTGCTACAGATTTACTTTCATTTTCTGGGGGTCTCTGTGTTTCTGTGGGACTTTCCTAGCTTTCATACTGTATATCCGTACAAGAAAATTCTACTCACGTTAGAAGGCAATGACAAATTCTAATAAATTTCTCTGATAGGGACGTATAGTTATAAATTTTATAAAATGATAGGTATTTTAATATTTTCCGATTTATCGTTTTTATGTGTAGACACTTGTATGAATATAATCCATTAATTTCATATATAGAGTTACAGTAAATCTATATCTTATGGTTTAAATGACCAGTTCATTACAGTAAATCTATATCTTATGGTTTAAATGACCAGTTCATTGCAAATGAATTATCTGTTAAGATTTAAATATTTATGTTTTAATCTCCAACTGTTCTTTTCAACCGTATAATTGATGGGTTGTTTTTTTTTTTTTTTTTTTTTTTTTTTCAAAATAAGCATTTATATATTATAACCTCAATAAACTTAATTCCTCACAAAAATGGGAAAATTTTATTGCCACACGATATATATATAGATACGTGTGGATACGTATGATTGAACATGGTTGCGTAAAATCCAAGGCAAAAGCAATTTGAATATTGAAATAGCGATATTAGCCTGCCCAATTACTTTAGTTGAGATATGGGAATTGAAATTAATGCCGTGCCCCTGCCTTTCCAAAAACATTTAATTGTATGCCAAAAAATGGTTGGATCTGGGCGGCCTTAAAATATTCTAAAATATTAGTTCTTTTCTAGTTATTTGCCTATGTATAAACTACTGCCCTTTTATTTGGAGACAAGCATTTAGCCTAGAAATATAGGTCACTATTTTGTTGCATACATTACAATATCAAGGAAGTAATATTCTTTTCCCTTCCGAATTGCATCCAAAAAAAAAAAATATATATATTATAAAGGCTGATTGGGTGAACATGCCATTATTTAACATCCTACAATACAAGATCAAAATAAATTGATGGTGAAAAGAATGTGAAATTAGTAAGAGAAAATACTGTAAATTGATTGTTGTTTTGGTGAAGGGAGATTAATTTGGAAACGTCACGCACTAAGATAGTACCATTTACATTACTGCTTATCCACAAAGTAACTTTCCTTTTGGCCTTCACAGTGGAATCTACTAACATGTTAAAAGCATAACAAAAAGGATGGATTCCTAAAAGGATCTTGTCCCCACTTGGTTTAAGAAACGTCCTTGTTAACCCCAAAGCTGGTCTTGGTTCATCTCATTTTATTGTTTGACCAACTTTGACCACTAAAATTTTAGTTTTATGGTTAAATATGTAAGGTAAATTATCAATATCATTCTATCAGAGTTAATTTTATCATTTGGATCCCAAAAATAGAGATAATATTAGATAATATAATATTATGCCGGTGACGGAGTGAGTGAGATGTTTTTGTTAATTTGTAAATTTTTATTGTGAGAATGTTTAGTTAAAATAAAAAATGCAAGGGTTAAAAAATAATATAAATATTTTTAAGAAAATGACAATAATGTAACAAACGCATTTTCAAAATCCTATGTTATCTTATTTATAATAGAATTTTAGAAAGGTTATTTAAAAAAGTGTACCAAAAACAACCTAAGTTATCCTGCTAAACTCTAATATAAATAATTAAATGTCTAATGAGCCCGTACAACCCTAGTTAGTAAATACGGGTACGGCAAAAAAACGGTATGGGAATTTTACGGGTATGATACGGCAAATGGTGAAAAATACGTTTGTAAAAATTCGGTCATAAAATTCGGATACGAAAAAAATACGATTCGGATATATACGGATTTAATACGACACATTGTCAATAATACGTTTTGAAAAATACGGCAATAGCAATCTTGGTTTTAGCACTTTTCAAAACATCCCCATTTAAATAATCCATTGTGGTCGACTCTACAATTTATTTTTCTTTTAATTTAAAGTATATTTGAACAATAACTAAGACTAGTATTTTTATCCTTAATTTTATAGCTACGCATACAAAGTTTGGATTCCAATTAGTATAGTTGTTTTATTTTCTGAATTTAATTGGACAGTACATTCAAAGGTCAAATAATAATAGTGTTATGAAATCTAAAAACATGACAAAGTGCACATGGGTTTACAATTTGCAGTTGGCGTTGGTTGTAAACTGATGGTTTGTTGCTTTTTTCTTCTTCTTTAAGTATCTGCCAATTCCAAATCCAAGCCTGACAATATTATTTTTATGAATTCATGCTTTTCTTTTGTAGTTTTGCCTTTACCTTTTGCTTTTATAGATGATCTTTAGTCTTTTCATTTTGACCCATACAACACAAAACAATAGAACTAAATGAAATATTATGTTAAAACAGATACCAAATATAACTCTCACGAGCATTTCATCAAACATGTTTCAAACAAATCTATCAATCCACCAACATAACAAATCCATCAATCCACCAGCCCCTATTACTACTACTCACACACCAACACAAACACAAACAAATCACCAACATACAAGATTCAAAGAGAGTTAAAAAGAGAAGAGAAGATGTGTTTAGTTTTATTTTTTAATAGTTTAAGTCTTGGACTTAAAGCTTGGAGAAGAGAGTTAAAATTTAAAAAGAGAAGAGAAGAAGAGATCAAGACTCAGAGTCAAGAGATGAAGAAAAAAGAGTTGAATTGTTGAAGATTTGAAGAAGAGATGGAGACTGTGGAAGAGAGAACCGAGAAAGAGGAGAAGGAGATTTTTTTTAATTTTAGTCAAATCCCACCAAAACGACGTCGTTTTGCCTTATTATGTAATTATTTTTTTGTCTGCAAAAATTCGGCAAAAATTCGGGTATAATTCGCGAATTATACGGATAAGGTATATAATTCGCGAATTATACGGCAGCCCTAATAAAATACGTGAATTCGCGTTTTATACGGGAATTATACGGCTAGCCGTATAATTCGCGTATAAAACGCGAATTTACTAACTAGGCGTACAACTACAGTTTTAGAAGGTTATACATGTTGCATATAAAATAATTTAATTTGAAACTACGCATATAAGTTCCAAACATAAAATCATATGTATAAATCGATTTGATGTAGTGGTGATCACTAATCCTTACAATTCAAAGATTTGCTTGCCAGATCCACAGTTTAAAAAGCATAATTACACTTTCTTTATGACATCAATTAAATTAATTAATTTGCACCGATCACACAGGTGCACTTGGACATTTCATTATCATATTATTTATCGTAGTGTCAAATCAACCCATTAACACCTAGCTGCGTAATTTTTTTTTCTTCTTTATATGATTAATGGCATGAAATTAAGATTTTATATATATAATCCAACAGGCAACTAAATTAACAATTTACATTAATTATTTTTAAATAATTCACTTAATGATTATTAAGAGTTAGATAACGTTATATGTCTTTTACAAAATAGTTCAATCTTAAGCACACCAAAAGTTTCCAAAACTATTTAAAACCTCTCTATAATATTGAAAACCCTTGTAAGACAGGGAGATTTTAATAATTTAAAGAGTATTTAATACATATAGACAGTTTTATAGTTTCCAAAGAGTTTGGGTATTTTTTAAATTAAATAATTTATACAGCTATATGAAATGAACCCTAATAATTAATTTTGAAATTTAGCTATTTAATGTCTTTAATATAATGTTTAAATTTTTTTTGATGAAATATGGAATGCTGAGGCTATCTATGCTGGAATCAAGTAGTCATTGATTCTCAAATCATTTGATTGATCATTGTAATATTTTGTAATTAAAAGTTTATTGTATTTCCTTACAATATTATTTTCTTTCCTTTATTATATTCAAAGCCATTGTATAAATTGGTTGATGTACACATTACAAAATACATAATACAAATGCAATTCTCTCTTTCTCTACTTGATATTCTTTGGTCTTCATTTCTGCCCTTTTATCAAGTCTTCTTGTAGGCATTCTTCGGCAGTCTTCTGCCTCTTTTGCCACTTTTAATCTCAAACTCTGACATGGTATCAGAGCAATCCTTTGCTTCCGCTACAAAGCCATTGTTTCTCTAAACCTGCAAAACAAGGCAACATAATTAGTTCTTCCAAACATCACAAATGGACCCAACCAAAATACCAATTGAACCAGAATCAGCATCCACAGCCATAAGTGAAGGCCCACACAACCAAACTCCACCAGGTCTAAACACACACACTGGTCAAAATTCTCCATCAAAGCCCAACCAACAAACTTTTCAACCCGGCCCATAACCATTTGGGTTTATGGGTCAAAACCCTAACCCGACAGTCAAAATCAATCCGGATCCACTTTTCAACCTGGCTCATTCCCATTTAGGTTTATAGGTCAAAACCCTAACCCGATGGGTCAAAATCCCCACCCGATTTTCCAAATTCTTCCAGCCTCCACCGGTCTACCGGAACTAGGGGATGCCTTTTTCTTGCCAGTTTCTGATGGATCTGAACTCGTGCTCGTCAAACAGCCGTTGGCCGGATCTCAAAATTATGCCACTTGGGCTAGAGATTTTCGGCGCGCTCTAGTAACCGAAAACAAGGAAGGGTTCATCGATGGAACCCTTCCCCAACCCATTGAACCGCATTTGATCCAGCACTAGATTCGATGCAACACCCTCGTTCGTGCCTGGATCAACAACTCCCTGACCCAAGAGATTGCTGCCGGCTTGCCTCAGACAGAAAACGCTCATGAAATGTGGACGAACATCCGAGAGATGTATAGCCAACTTGATCTCGCAAAGATTTTTACTTTGCATAAAAACCTTTTTGAAATCAAACAACACAATCTGCCAGTCATAGTTTATTTCAATCGCCTTTTGGCGATTTGGAACGAACTCGATGCTGTTGAAGAACCGATTGAAGGGCCATCGACGATTTTTCACCAGATCAAACACCTGAAAGATCAAAACAGGTTAATACAGTTTTTAATTGGTTTAAATGACAATTTTTTGGCTTTTCGAACGCAGATGTTGGCTACGTCCCCTGCGCCATCTCTCCGGCGCACTTACCAACTAGCCATCCAAGACGAAAGCCAGAGATCAACTTCGTCTGAAACCCAATCCAGTACTGAAGCGGCTGCCTTCGCTGTCAATCCCCAATGTTGACAGAATGGACACTTTGAAACGAAAACTGGAAATGACAAGGGGAGGCTAGGGC